GGATTAAAAAATTTGGATCAATATTGTGATTTCTTTCTCCGTTTAATATTAATATTACTAAGCTTATAAGACGTTATGAAAATTTACACTTGTCTATATTATTTAATGAAACATGTATGAATGAAAAATACTGCCCAAAATACATATATATATATATATATATATATATATATATATATATATATATATATATATATATATATATATATATATATGTATGTATAAGGAGAGTTGAATTTTGTATTTGTTAAATTATGTATGATCAAAGTCGTTTATATTTGAATTTGATCAATTTCCACTTGAATTGCTGAATTATATGTATCGATAACATTTTGTAAATACCTTTTTTTTTCTCTTCTCTTAAAAACTTAATTATATTTTCTCCTGCAAATAATTATTATAGAAGGTATAATTCATCTATATATCTGATTTTTTGTTACCTATTAACCGAGACTGTTGTTTTAAACATATAGTCACTGTTTGATTTTATGAAACAATTCCAGACGAGCTCTGCAAAATTAGATCCTGGCAATGCATATTCTTGTGCAATTTAAAGTAGTCGAAGAATCATGTAAATATTTTTCTAAACTTCTGTTCCGGTCGTCATCTCCACCATTATTTTTGTTGTTGTTGTTGCCATAACAACGACCTGACGTCAAACATATTAACGAATCTTATTGTAGCTGTGAGGTGAATGAATGAGATACCCTCAGGCGATTTCTGTCTTGAATACACTCTTTTCTTTATTCACATGTTTGACGGCAGTCGCAAATAATCATATTTTTTCTTATTCCATCAGGAATGCCAAAACCAATTTTATTTCCCTGCTCATTATCGTCTGATTCCAACTCCGACTCGACATTGCTATAATGAAAGCGTCTACAGTTTTTCTCTCGTAGCACTCGATATGTTTAATTTTCTTGCTTTAGCAGGTTCTGACTGCGATAGTACCACGTTTCAATATATTCACACGATACATAATCTTCCATCCTGTCTCGACTTGCGAGCTTACAGTCCGTCTAAAGTTATCACACAAATCACATAAATCCTAATAACTCGAATTTATTTGAAAGATCTTTGTAAAATTTTAGACGATTAATGTAAATGTCATAACATATTTTATTACATTTATTGAATTTCTTATAATAACTATAGTCTGAAGTTTTATTCATATAAAGGTAATATTTTATCACATATGAAATCAAATGATTTTTTTCTCTTTTATCTATAATGCATATTGAAACACGAGTAATGGATTGGGTCTAACTAATGCTAAAATAAATAAATAGGCAAGTTATTGAATGGGGCAATTCCTACATGTAAATATCGAAGGAGATTCTCAGAGATCATTGTAATAAAAGAAGGGCTGTTATATATATATATATATATCTAAATTGAGATTTAGAGGCAAAACGAAAAGGCTTTAAGTAAAATGAAATAGAGAAAACCAATCACCACGATATTAAACGCTTCAAAATTAGGTTCGACAGTTATCCGTCATACATATCCTCATAATATGAACTTCTTATATTCTGTACGAACTTACAGCAACCTCATTCCATAAGACTCTACCTTGATTAGCTCTTTGGCCTTGTATTGTGTAAACCATAGTATTAAAAACGTTCAAACTGTTCTTAATGTCATACTTTATCATATGTTTCTTTAGTCGTTGTTACATGGAATAAGCCCTTATGGGTTTTTATTGTTCAATCTAAAAAACAGACCAATTATAAAGATTTCTTGTTCTAGTGCTTTAAACAAGCTAAGGATTATTGATCGATTTTCGGTAAGTCATTCTGAATATCACGGGTAATATAGGTGATTTTGATAAAAATATCCACCGTGATCGTTGAAAAAATGTTTGATAAGCCGTAAGAAATAAATCTTGCACTTACAATCTTACACATATTGAAAATTCCCTTGCCCTTTCAAAAGAAAAGACATATATTTTTCTATTCATTGCCGCTCTTTAAGATTTTAATTGGGAAAGTTCAGTAGATTAAAGTTAAATCAGGAGTGCCCAATGATGTCTATTCCATCCAGAGACACTTAACAAAATCGAAACATTATTAAAAAGAGGAAAAAAAAACAAAAACATTACCAAATATTATTACAAAAACGCATAGCAAAATATTAAAGTTAGAATGTTACCACGAAATGATGTGAATCATTTGTTGGCATCAACATTGGCCTGTGTTTCAATGATTACACAACGCCATCGTCTCGATAGAGAGAATATTTGTCTATGTGCTGCACCCATTCAATTAATGGACAATCATAACTCTCCATAACTTTCTCTCCTTTCTAGCATATAGTAATAGTTGCCATGAAATCATCCCTTTTCGGATACATTCCGCCATCTATTCACGCAAGCTCGTTAGGTAGTTGGCCCGCTGCTTCCCCCTGTACAGTTTGCTTTCAATTTGCCCTGAGAATGTTAAATTCTCTGAGTCACTCTTCCTTTTTTATTGGACCAAGAAATTTCAGCTTCCTGTTTTTGTGTATGATTATAAGTGTCCTATTTGTTTCGATTTTCCTTAAACTTTCTGATTGCTTACGCTCTATTTACATTATTCGGGCTATTGTCCTCATCTTTGTCGCCATATTTATCACAACGTTTCGGCCCTTGTACGCTCCGACCTTCTTCAGGTGGTTGGAATGTTGAACCGAACCCTTTGTTACGCTCACTGAGGTAGACTGTTCTAGTTCTACATACCATGTCTAATGGATGTCAGTTATCTCCTGTTAATTCCCCTCTACAAGTTTTCCCCCGTATTCAACCAGGTATTGAACTCACACTCTTTGGGTCCTGTCACTGGATTTAACTAACACACTTATCTACTGTGCAATTTGTTCTTGATGGCACGGTGGATAAATATGGTGGCAAAGATGACGACAATAGTCCGAATAATGTATATAGTGTACATAAATAAATAGTGTACATAATACATCATCTCAGAAATATAGACAGATGCTTATGCTCTATATCCCTGGAACTCTAAGTTTTCTTTTATAACAACTTC